TAATAGTTTCTCTGAACACACCTTTGACTGTGTTCCAGAGGTTTTGATAACTTGTTTATTGTAGTCATAAATTTCAAGGATTTTTTTTTGGTTTTTTTTTTTTTTTGAGTTGCAGTCTCACTCTATCGCCCAAAATGGAGTGCAGTGGCCGCTCCCGGCCACCGCAGCCTCGCCTGCTGGGCTCCAGTGATCGTTCCGCCTCAGCCTTCCAAGTAGCCGGAATTACAGGCATGAGCTACCATACCCGGCTGATTTTTTGATTTATTGTAGAGATGAGGTCTCACTGCCCAAGCGGGTCTCGAACCCGCGGGCTCAGGCAATCCACTCACCTCAGCCTCCCAAAGACGCGGGATTACAGGCTGAGCCACCGAGCCCGGCTATATAGGAATTTTTTAATTTTCATTTTGATATTATGGTTGACCCAAGGATCATTCAGGAGCAACTTGTTTAACTTTCATGTTTTTGTTTGGTTTTACGAGTTCTTCTTGGAGTTAATTTCTAGTTTTATAGCACTGTGATCTAAGAAGTTGCTTGATATTATTTCAATGTTTTTAAATTATTGAGACTTGATTCGTGGCCTATGATATGATCTGTCTTGAAGAATGTTCCATGTGCTGATGAGAAAAATGTATATCCTGTAGTTTTGGGGTAGAAAGTTCTATAGATGTCTGTTAGTTTCATTTGCTCTAGCGTCTGGTTTAATTCCTATGTTTCTCAATTAACATTCTGCCTTGATGATCTGTCTGTTGCTGTCAGTGGAGTGTTGAATTCTTTTAGTATTATTGTATTGCTGTATATCTATTTTGTTAAGTCTAGTAGAAAATGTCTTATAAAGCTGGGGGCTCTGGCATTAGGTACAGATATATTTTAAATTAAGTTCATGTGGTCAAGCATCACATTGAGATTCCATATCTCCTTGCTGATTTTTTGTATTGATGATCTGTCTAGGGTTATTAGTGGGGATTTAAGTCCCCAGCTATGAAAGTGTTAGAGTCAATATTTTTTTTTAGTTCACCTAGAAGATGTTTTATGAAAGTTGGTGCTCCTATTTTGGATGCATATATGTTTAGGATGGAAGTTTCTAGTTGATGTATTAAATCTTTTATCATTATGCAGGGTGCTTTCATTTCTTTTTAAACTTTTGATAGCTTAAAGAGTGTTTTTTTTTTATATTAAGATTGCAACTCCTGCTTTGTTTTGTGTTCTATTCCCCTGAAAAATTTGTTTTCCTTCCTCTTACTTTACCTCTGTGAGTGTCCTTTCTGGTGAGATGAGTCTCTTGGAGATAACATATTGTTGCATCGTGATATTTTATCCAATTTGTCATTCTTTGTCTTTTCAGTGATACAATTAGTCCATTCACATTCAGGCTAATTATTGAGATGTGAGAGTTATCTCTGTCATAAGTTTTTTATAGAGTTTGCTGCTGCTGCTGTTTGTTTGTTTATTTGTTTTTTGTCTTTCTTTTGATTTCTGGGTTGATTCATGTGTGTTTTCAATCTTTTTCCTGCATTCTTGGGAAGACTATTGTCATTCTTTCTTTTTCTTTCTTCTGTGTTTAGTACTTTCTTAAGTGTTTCTTGTAGATCTGGTCTGGATGCAATGTAAACTCTTAGAGATTGAATGTCTAATAAGAATTTTAATTCTCCATCGCTGATGAAATTTAGCTGGTAGGTAATTCTTGGTTGAAATTCTTTATCTTTGAGAATTTTGAAGACTGGACTCCAATCTCTCCTAGCCTGAAGTTTTTCTGTAGATAAGTCTGCTTCTATTCTAATTGATCTTCCCTGGTAGGTAATCTGATCTTTCACCTTTGTTGCCTTTTGGATTTTTTCTTTCATATCTGCTTTGTATAGGTGAACTGTTATGTGTCTTTGAGTTGGTTTTCTCCTTTGTTGTCATGCAGGCATTCTCTGAATCTCTTGTGTTTGAATGATTGCATCTATGATGAGATGAGAGAAGTTTTCTAATTTAATAATTTCATGAAATGTTTGTTCCAGGGTGGTCTCTGTCTCTATCTGCTTCATGAATTCCAATTAATCTTAGGTTTGGCCTCCTGATATAATCACTCATCTCTTAGAGGCTTTGTTCTCTCTTTTTAAGCTTCTTTTCTATGTTTTTAACAGTTTGGGTTAGTTCCATAATTTAGTCCTCAGGCTCTGAGATTCTTCTGCTTGGCTGATTCTGCTTTCCATGTTTATCAACTTGGTATTTATTTCATTTACTGTTATCAGCTCCTTCATAATTTCCTCTTGTTTCTCCTCATTTCTATCTATTCTTTCTGTTAATATCTTGATATCTGGGTTTGTGGATTGAGACCAGTCATTCTGGGGGTTCCTCATTGTTTGAGTTCTGAAGTCTGTATTCTCAGTTGTTGTCCTCCCAGGGATCTGTATGAGACCTGTATTCTTCCATTGGTTTTTCTTCATTTGTGTAGGTTTTCCTCCCCTAACCTCCTCCCCTTTTTTATTACCTCTTCTTTAATTCTGTTGTTCAGTGTTGGGGGGATGGCTTTTACTTTTGTTTGCTCAATCTCCTGCTCTCCCTTATGTAGATCTTCTGGCTTTGTTCAATTTTGAAGCTGAACTAGAGGTGAGGGTTTTTGCACTTTTGAGACTGAGTTAAGGAGGGAGTTGTGACCACTTCCCACTGCCTTACAACTGTCCATGCAGTAGGGATGTATATTTGCTCCCTGAAAGCAAAATGAAATAAGAAAAAAGAAAAGAATGGATAAAGGAAGGAGGAAAATGAAAGAGAGGTTAAGAGAGAGAAGAAGAAGGAAAACACACAGATATACCAACTAGCAAATAAACAGAGAAACAAAGACAGAAAAAGCAAAAACATACAGACAATCATACAAACAGACAACAAAAAAAACTCTGTTGTTGTAGTAACCTCAGAAATACACAAACAGAAAATCTAAAAAAAATTAACAGAAACAAAGCAAGTGCAAAAATATAAACAAAAACAGAAAGAGAGAAGAAAAAGACAAAACAAAAAAAAAAACCTGCTCTGTGGCCATTTCTGTAACTCCAGGTTCCTTTCAGTTGCTGCCACCACATTAGGGAGTAGCTCTGGTCTCCAGCCTGTCTCCTCTACTCTCAGTGCAGGCTGATAGGGTTGCTCTCAGTGTGGGTCAGATGCCCCATGGACTACTGTGGGAGGAGGATGAATCAAGTCCAGACTCACCTGACTCATCTGCTGCTGCCGCTGAGTCTCCCACTCAGATCTGACATGTCTGTGCCTCTTCTAGTATGGGGTGGGAGCCGTCTGTCTCTCCAAGTCTAATAAGGAGATAGCCTCTGGGTCCCAGGTTGGAGGCTGGACAGACCTGGGTGGGGCAATGCAGTTCTCTGCCCAGTACCAGGACAGAGAATTTGGCACTGATTGTCACCTCCTCACCAGCGGTGGGGCTCTGTTCCAGATTTCCACATCCTACCTTCTCCACATTTCCTGCTACTAGTGCCTGGTCTACTGCCACAGTTGATGACATGGGCCAGGTGCCACATGGTGAGGAGCAGCTGTTCTCTGCTCTCTCTTCTCAAGAGAGCCCTGAGAACAGTAGAAAATCCTGCATGCTGGGACTCCAATCTCAGGGAAGTGGTGGGTTGCAGTCACCTCTGGAGGAAGCCCCAGGTGCATGAACCAAAGTTTCCCTTCAGATGGACTTTCACTCACCCCCAGCACAAACCCAGTTATGCAGACAGTCTTTATGGAGACTCACTTTTACAGAGACTCTCACACTCCCACCCAATCTGTCACCATCTTGCCTCCAATCCCTATTTATCTCTTTGTTGCACTATGTGGCTATTATCACTTCTTTGATGAGTTGCAGGACATGCTGCTTGTCCTGTTCCTCTCTGAAGGGCTGAAGAAACTCCCTCTGTCTTGGTTTACTCCATAGGAGAAATATGCTCTCGCAGCCTCATGTCAGCCATTTTAATCCTATCTCCTGCTTACTTTGACATCTCCATGTCCTCAGACAACTTTGATTCTTCCTTCTGAAAATTCCTTCCCTGAAATCCTTGGCATGACACTAACCTCAATCATTATCTTCTTGTATAGAAACTCTCTCTCCTTTCCAGTTTCCTGTCCTCGTCTTCCCTCTCCTATTTCTCTTTCTCCTCCTCTACCAATGGGTAAACAGAACAAAACTGAAAACTAAAAGCATATGGCTGGATACACAAGTATTTTATTTTAATAGCCTCCTTCTCATCATTTTGCCTGCTGATCTTCTAATCCATATATCATCACTTTTTTTGGCAGCATTCAGTATTTGAAATTGTGCACTTATACTTCCACTGAGTTGTAGGCTTATTTATTGTGAAACTATGAAGCTTAAGTTTCAAGGCCACCCTCTTGAAAAAGTCCCTTCAAAACCCTAAGAGTCCTAGCCACGTGTTTCACATGGTCATATAGTTTTTAAAAAGTGTCCAAAGTAAGCTCTGTTGGTTATCCTTCCAGAATGGCAGTGTAAAAAGTTTTTTACTGGCTTCTCCTTCCAGAAAATCAGCATAACTCATTTAAAAATCTTTGGACTACATTTGTACATCAAACAATGAAACATTTATTCATGAGGTTCTTCACTGCAAGAATTAATGAATAAATATTGAATATTGAATTCCCTACATTTAGCCAGGATGCAAATAAAAGTGCTGCATCCCATCAAATTTTCCATTTGATATCATGTGTAAATTTTTAAATAAGAATGCAAAAGAAAATAAAAGTTTTGCACAATATATTAAGTAGATGATTTGGATCTTGGGAGAAGTTGACTGTTATTAGTCACTGCTATACCAACACCATTGTAATAAACTACTTTAATATGACTTCCATAACTTTCTCAGATGACACAGATTCTATATCATCTATCTTGCTGACACAAAAAAACCGCTTTAGGCCACGCTGGGAAATTTTATGATTCTACGTTTTGAATGCAAAAGACTGAAAATGCTAATGTATTTTACCTCTTCTCTCACAGACAAGGGAGTGCCCTGGACATGGCCTCAGAGATTCACATGGAAAGACCAATGTGTCTCATTGAGAATGCCCAAGGGCAACTGGAGGTTAATCCAGAAGCTTTGGAGATCCTGTTTAACATTATGCAGACTGTGGTAGTGGTGGCTATTGCAGGCCAGTACCGCACAGGCAAATCCCACTTGATGAACAAGCTGACAGGGAAGAAGAAAGGTAACTGGCACCAGCAAAGCTCAGATGATCCTCTTCTGTCCACCCACATTGTCAACATCCACTATGGGGATATGAGGAGAGAAAGTTAGAGATGGGGCTTACTATGGTTTTTATAGGGTTTGTTTGTTCCCTCCAAATCTGATGTTAAATTTGATACCTAATGTTAAGGGTGTAGACCTAATGGGAGGTGTTGGGGTCATAGGGGTGTGTCTTTCATGAAAGGCTTAGTTCCATGTTTGCTGTAATCAGTGAGTTCTGTACATTTCTGAACGAGCTGGTTGTCACAAAGAGCTTGGCACATCCATCCCCTCTTTCCCTTGTTTCCTCTCTCACCATGTGATCTCTACACACTTGCTGCCTTCACCTTTCACCAAGAATAGAAGCAGTCTGAGGCCCTCGCCAGATGTTGATGCTAGTGTTGGGATTCTTGTACAGCATGCAGAAGCAGAACTTTAAGCAAAACAAACCTCTTTTATAAAAATAAATTACCTAGTCTCAGCTATTTCTTTATAGTAACTCTAAACAGTTCACAGTTGAACTTTTTATCATCACTCTATTCTATGGGATAAGAGTCAGCTCCCTAACTCTCCTTACTATGTCTTACCTTTTCTTTTTAAAGCAATCATGGTTCCTTTTCTAGAAAGAGTAAGGCAGTAATAAAAATAAATAATGTAGGGCCAGATGCGGTGGTTCAGACCTGTAATCCCAGCATTTTGAGAGGCCAAGGAGAGAGTATTATATGAGCCCAGGGGTTCAAGAGCTGCCTGGGCAACTTCGTGAGACCTTATCTCTACAATCAATCAAAAAATTAGCAAGGCATGGTAGTGTGCACCTGTAGTTCCAGCAACCATGAGCATGCCATGCCACTGCACTCCATTCTGGGTGACAGAGTGAGACTCCAACTCAAAAATAATAATAATTATGTCGAGTAGTCTACAAGCCATCAAATCAGATGTCTTTCTAATTACTATGTCTTCCTTAATTTCTTTCAACATTACCTGGTAGTTTTTGCTATACACGTTTTCACCTCCTTGGTTTAGTTTATTTATATGCAGTTTGCTATTTTGATGCTCCTGGAAATGTGATTTTTTTTCTTAATTTATTTTTCCAATTGTTCATTATTAGTGAATAAAAATGCATTTGATTTCTGCATGTTGACTGTGTATGCTGCAAATGTACTAAACTCATTTATTAGCTCTAACAGTTCTTTGGGGGAATATATGAGGTTTTCTATATCTAAGACCAAGTGATCTATTTGCAAATAATTTCACTTCTTCCTTTACAGTTTATATGCCTTCTATTACCTTCTCTTGCCCAATTCCCCTGGGTAACACTTCCAGTACTATATTGAACAGAAGTGGCAAAAGTGGGCATCCTTGTCTCATTCCTTATCTTAGAGAAAAAGTTTTCAGTCTCACACTTTTGTGTAGGATGTTGGCTGTGGGTTTTTCATATATGACATTTGTCATGTTGAAGTAGTTTTCTTCTATTTCTAATTTATTGATTGTTTTTATCATAAAAGGTTGTTGAAATTATTCATGTATTCTATATTCTTCTTTCCCCATCTTCCCGATTTCAAATAAGATCAACATTAGTTGTGTTTTTAGTTATCTTTCCTAACTGTAATTATGCTTTTATCTCAATTGCAGGCATCTCCTCCTATTAAAATTCCACGCCCACTCATCTCCACTTCACTCACTTTCAGGCTTCTCTTTGGGTGCCACGGTTCAATCTCACACCAAAGGAATCTGGATGTGGTGTGTGCCTCATCCTAAGAAATCAAAGCACACCTTAGTTCTTCTTGACACCGAAAGCCTGGGAGATGTAGAGAAGGTAAAAAAGGAGAATTTAATTTTGGAATAAGCTCTACATATCTGGATATTCTGTAGGCTGTTTAGTTTTTGTTTTTGTTTTTTTCCTTAAATAGAAGCTCACACTTAACTATAATATGTTTTTTCATTCCATATCACAAGGCCAAATTTACCAACAAGAGATTGCTAAAGACAAAATCCTAACTGAAAGTAATGGTGATCAATAGATAGTATTTAAACTAACAGCAGAATTTAAGCTATATGAGTAAAATTGCCTACTGAAAGTGGACTGGATTTAAAAAATGTGGTACTTATACACAGTGGAGTATTATGTAGCCATAAAGAAGAACAAAATCATGCTCTTTGGAGAACATCATACTTAGTGAACTATCACAGAAACAAAGAAGTGAATATCACATGCTCTCACTCATAAGTGGATCCTGAACACTAATCACATTAGCACAAGGAAGGGATTGGCAGTAACTATACTGCCAGGAGAGGGAGGGATGTGGGAGGTTATGTGACACATGACAGTACAAAGAGTACCTGCTTCACTACCAGAGGGAGTGGGCTGATTAGAAGTCCAAATTTCACCTGCTTGTAGCCTACTTATGTAGTTAATGCTCACTAGTGCCCCACATCTCTATAATAAATAAATCATTTTTAAAATTATGCAAAGCCCATGGCTTATGAATAATCATTTAGGTTTATTTATACATCATTAGTCTAAAAAATTCTAATTAAATAAGCATAGTTTTACCACTGCTGATTTTAAAACACGGCTGACTCAGTTGTGTTCTGATTCCCAGGGCAACAAGGATAATGACTCCTGGATCCTTGCCCTGGCCATCCTCCTGAGCAGCACCTTTGTGTACAATAGCATAGGAACCATCACCCAGGATGCCATGGACCATCTGCAGTATCCTTTCATGGTCCAGATGAGCTCCAAAGTCAGAGGGACACCCGTATTAATAAACCAGCTGCCTGACTGTGAATCCTGGTAAACTTAGCTCAAGAAGAGAAAACATGAAAAATAATTCAAGCACAGGAGAAAGATCCCATTACCTACTATAGAGACACTTAGGTTAAGAACAAAGGCAAAATGAAGGTTTGGGAATAATGTGGAACTAATATGGGATGGGAGGCCCTGTTCATTTTTGCCCTTTTCCTTAGTAAGCTGCTCAGCTACGTGACAGAATCCGAGCAAAATCCTCACCTAATGAGAATGAGGTTGAGGATTCAGCTGACTTCATAGGCTTCTTCCCAGAATTTGTGTGGACTCTGAGAGATGTGACTCTGAAGTTGAAAGCAGATAAACAAGCCCTCTCAGCAGACGAGTACCTGCAGAATTCCCTGAAGCTAAAGCCAGGTAACAGAGACTTGGTTCAGGAACACAGCGGGGAGAATACCTAGAATTACGTAGTATTTTTTGAGAGTTGCTTGCTTACATTTACAGCTTTCTCTTTTAAGTCACCAGGCTGTTCCTAAGAAGTAATTTCCATTTAGTATCTGGTTTTAAAAATTTATTTTTAGGCCGGGCTCGGTGGTTCAGGCTGTAATCCCAGCACTTAGGGAGGCCGAAGAGAGTGGATTGCCTGAGCCTGCGGGTCCGAGACCAGCTCAGGCAACTTGGCAAGATCTCGTCTCTACAATAAAATAAAATAAAATAGATGGGCATGGAAACACACATCTGTAGTTCTGGCTACTCGAAAGGCTGAGGCGGAAGGATCGCTGGAGCCCAAAAAGTCAACACTGGGGTGGCCATGAGCATGCGTGCCATTGTACTCCAGCCTGGGCGAAGGAGTGAGACTCCGACTAAAAAAAAATTATTTTTAATTGCATTATTCCTTTGATGTAAAGACAAAATCTTTGTGTATGTTTGTTTGTTTGTTTTGTTTGGAGTTGGAGTCTCACTCTGTCACCCAAGCTGGAGTGCAGTGGCACGCTCACAGTCGACCTGCTGGGCTCCAGTAATCGTTCCACTTCAGCCTTCCAAGTAGCCAGATCTATAGGCATGTACTACCATGCCAGGCTAATTTTTTATTTATTGTAGAGACAAGGTTTCGCCAAGTTGCCCAGGCTGGTCTCGAACCCGTGGGCTCAGGCAATCCTCTCACCTCGGCCTCCCAAAGACAAAATCGTTTTTCCTTCCATTTTTAGTTGCCATACAATAATTGTACATAGTTATGGAATACATAGAGTGGTATTTCAATAAATGTATATAGTGCATAATTACCAAATCAGTGTAATCAGTCTATCACCTCAAACATTGATCATTTCTTTGTTTTGTGAACATTCTAAATCCTGTCCTCTAGCTTTGTGAAACCATATAATAAATTCTAGTCAGCCATATTCCCCCTACAGTTTTTCGGAACACCAGAAATCATTTCTCCTACCTATCTACAACCTTGTATAAGTTAACCAACATCTCCCCATCCTCCATACCCTGCAACCCTTTTCAGCCGACAATACCCACAATTCTACTCTACTTCCATGAGCTCACTTTTTCCCCTCCCACATATGAGTGAGAACATGCAGCATTTATTGTTTTGTGTCTGTCCTATTCTACCTAACTTGATATCTTCCAGGCTCATCCATGTTGCCCTGAATGACAAGATTTCATTCTTTTTTATAGCTGAGTAGCATTTTATATTTTCTGTAATGATTCATCTGTTGATGCACATATAGGTTGATTCCGTGTATTTGCTATTGTGAAGAGTGCTGCAATAAACATGGAGGTGTTCGTATCCTTTTGATATGCTGATTTCCTATTCTTTCAATAAATATCCAGTGATGGGATTGTGGTGATATGACTAGTTTTTTGAGAAGCCTACATACTCTTTTCCATAATGACCGAACTAACTTACATTCCCACCAATGTATGAGAATTCCATTTTCTTGCATCTTTGCCAGTATTGGTTGTTTTTTTGTTTGTTTGTTTGTTTGTTTGTTTTGTATTTTTGATATTAACCATTCTAACTGAGGCGAGATGATATCTTGCTATGATTTGGGGTTATTCTGTTTTTTTGTATTTCTCTGAAAACAGTAATGTTGAGCATGTTTTCATATATGAGTTGGACAATTGTATGTCTTCTTTTGAGTAATGTTTGTTCAGTTCCTTGATTACTTTTCTTTTTAAAGAGACAGAATTTCACTCTGTCTCCCAGGCTGGAGTGCAGTGACATGCTCATGCATGGTTCACTGCAGCCTCAAACTTCCAGGCTCAAGCGATCTCCAGCCTCAGCCTCCTGAGTAGCTAGGACTACAGGTGTATGTCACCAGCCTCAGCCTCCTGAGTAGCTGGGATTATAGGATCATGCCACCATGCTTGGATAATTTATTTTTTATAGGGACCACCATGTTACCCATGTTGGTCTCAAACTCCTGATCTCAAGCAATCCTCTAACTTCAGTCCTCCAAAGTGCTTGTATTACAGGTGTGAGCCACCACACTCATCTTTCGCCCACAATATTTTTTTTTTTTTTTTGAGTCAGTCTCACTCTGCCTCACAAGCTGGAGTACAGTGGCACGATCACAGTTTTTACAGCCTCAAACTGCTGGGCTCAAGCATTCGTTCTGCCACCACCTTCCAAGTAGCTGGAACTACGGGTGCACACCACTGCATCAGGCTAATTTGTTTTTTGTTTTTATTACAGAGATGTAGGGTACAAGTGAGGATTAACTACATAAGTTCGCTGCATGCAGGTAAAGTTTGGGCTTCTAACTGACCCTCACTCCCCCTGGCAATAGACCAGGTTCCCTTTGTGGGTTGTCACCAGTACTTCGCTCTCTCCTCTTCCTCCCTCCCTCCCCTAGAAATGTCCAGCAACTACCCATCCCTCTTTTGTGCTAATGTGACTAATGTTCAGGGTCCACTTATGAGTGGTTAATTTTTTTATTTATTGTAGAGATGATGTCTTGCCAAGTCGACCAGGCTGGTCTCAAACCCCTGGGCTCAGGCAGTCCTCTCACTTCTGCCTCCCAAAGTACTGGGATTACAGGCATGAGCCGCTGAGCCTGGCCTCTTTGCCCACTTTTTGATGGGTTGGATTTTTTTCTGTGGAGTTTCTTCAACTCCTCATATATTCTTAATATTAGACCTTTGTCAGATTAACAGTTTGCAAATAATTTCATCCATTTTATAGGTTTTCTCATTATTTTGTTGATTGTTTCTTTTGCTGTGAGGAAGCTTTTGGGTATAATTTAGTTGCATTTGTCTATTTGTGTTGCCTGTGCTTTTGAAGTTTTAGTCATAAACCCGTTGCTTAGACCAATGTCCTGACATGTTTACCCTATGTTTTCTTCTAGTAGTTTTATAGGTTCAAGTCTTATGTGTAAGTCCTTGGTGCATTTTCAGTTGACTTTTTTACATGGTGAGAGATAGGGGTCCAGTTTCATTTTTCTGCATATGAGTATCTAGTTTTCCCAGCACCACTTATGAAGAAGGTGTCCTTTTCCCAGTGTATGTCCTTGGTACTTTTATAAATTTTAAAAAATCAATTGGCTGTAGATACTAAGAGGACCCAAAAAAACCCAAATTATCTTCTGGAGGGCAGACCCCTTGTAGTACAGACTTCCTCCACTAGGTGTTTTAGGACTTCCTGCACTAGGTGTTTTAGGAACCCATTGGTGTTAGTGTACCAGCTAGCGTTGTTGTGAGAGGCTGCATTCAGCTTCAGTGAATTTTTTTGTGGGGATTATTTCAATGTGTTTGCCTGTTTCGTGACGGGTGACTTACGAGTGCACCTGCCCACAACTGTGCTGAGTGTTTAGCAGTTTTTGACTAAAATCAACATGACCCCCATGCCCTAACCTTCCTATTCTCCTGATCTCACACTGAGCGACTTTTTTGTTTGGTTCCCAAATGAAAAAAAAAAGTCCTCAAAGGGAAACATTTTGCCAATGTGAAGGAGATGAAACAAAAGATGGCAAAATAGAGTCAGGCGTGGTGGCTCAAGTCTGTAATTCCTGCACTTTGGGAGGCGGAGGTGAGAGGATTACCTGAGCTCAGGGGTTTGAGACCAGCCTGAGCAACATGGCAAGACCTCGTCCCTACAATAAATCAAAAACTTAGCCAGGCCGGGCATGGTGGCACATGCCTGTGGTTCCAGCTACTTGGAAGAATAATGCAGAATAATCACCTGAGTCCAGCAGGTCGCGGCTGTTGTGGCAGTAAGCGTGCCACTGCACTCCTGTCTGGGTAACAGAGTGAGACTCCAACTCAGAAAAAAAAAAGCACTAAAAGGCATCAAAATTAAGTTCAAAAACTGTTTTGAGCAGTGGAAAAAGTGTTTCAGTAGGTGTATTGCATCAAAAGAGTACTTTGAAAGTGACAAGTTTAAATATGTAACAGAAATACACAATTTTTAATAAATAAATTCTGGGTTTTGGGGATCACCTTGAATATGTGGTTTTATTTACAGATTTTTTATTCTGTTGATTACTTGGAATTTTGTTGTTATTTTTCCATATGAATTTGTAGGATTCGTTTTCTATTTCCATTAAGAATATCTTTGACATTTTGATAGGAATTGAATTGAATCTGTAGATTGCATCAAGGAGTATAGACATTTTAACACTATTAATTCTGATTCGTGAGCATGAGTGTCTTTCCAATTTTTTATATCCTTTTCCATTTCTTTCATGTTTTGTCATTTTTTTAAAGGAGTTTATCATCTCATTGGCCAAATTTATTCCTAGGCATTGTGGTTTTTTGTGTGTATAGCTATTGTAAATAGGATTATTTTCTTGATTTCTTTATCAGTTCCTTATTGATTTACATGAAGCTACTGATTTTTTTAATGTTGATTTTGTAGCCTAAAAATTTACTAAATTTGTTTATCAGTGCTAAAATTTTTGGTGGAGTCCAGGTTTTTCTATATATAAGATCATGTTATTTGCAAAGATGGACAATTTGACTCTCCTTTTCCATCTAGATGACTTGCATTTCTTTATCTTGTCTAGCTGATCAGACTAAAACTTCTAGTACTATGTTAAATAAAAATGATAAAAGGCATTCTTACCCTTTTCCAGTTCTAGAGACAGTGCTTTGAGTTTTTCTCCATTCATTATGATTTTAGCTGTGGGTCTTATGATGTTGATGCCAAATTTGTTGAGATTTTTTTTTCATGAATGGATGCTGAATTTTTCTGAGACTATAGAGATAGTCACACGATTTTTGTCCTTTTTTTCTGTTGGTGTGTGGTATCAGATTTACTGATTTGCATATGTTAAAACATTTCTGCATTCATGAGACAAATCCCATTGGCTCATGTCATATTGTCCTGTTGAGGTGTTGTTGGATTATGTTTGCTAGTAATTTGTTGAGAACTTTTGCATGTATGTTCTTCACGGATTTTGGCCTAGGGTTTTCTTTTCTTGTTGTGTCCTTGTCTAGTTTTGGTATCAGAATAATGCAGGCCTTGTACAATGAGTTAGAAAGAATTTCCTCTTCAATATTTTGGGAATACTATTTTTTAACTTTTAATTTTTTTGTTTTAAAGATGTGGGATACAATTCAGGGTTATGTATACAAATGTTCATTATGCAGGTACCCCTGTTGATGAGGTGTGTCCCCAACCCCTGGCAGTTTCCCTCAACTGCCAATCCCACCCTCTCTCCCCTGGCAATTTGCCACTACTGCCAGTCCCTTTCTTATAGTATTATGATAATTGTTCAAGGTCTGCTTATGAGTGAGAACATATGGTACTCTGCTCTTTGTTTCTGGGATAGATTACTGAATATTATAGACTCTAAATCCATCCAAGTTGCTGCAAAGTCTATACATTTGCCCTTCTTTATGGCTCATAATACTCCATTGTGTATATGTACCACATTTTTTTATTCAGTCCAGTTTCGATACCAACATGGTTGGCTCCATGTTTTTCCTATTGTGAATAGTGCTGCAATAAACATGTGTGTGCGGGTATCTTTTTGGTAGAATGATTTGAGTTCCTCCAGGTATATTTGGGAATAATTTGATAAGAATTGAAGTCAGTTCTTCTTTAAACTTTAATGTTACTCAGCAGTAGAACCATCTGGTCCTGGACCTTTCTTTTTCGGGAGGCATTTTATTATGGAGTTAATCTTATTACTCATTACCAGTCTATTCAGGTATTCTATTCTATTTCTTCCTGGTTCTATCTTGGTAGATTATAGGTCCAGGAATTTCTATATTTCCTGTGGACTTTTCAATTTGTTAGCATATACTTGTTCATAATAGTTTCTAACGATCCCTTGTGTTTTTGTGGTATCAGCTATAATATCTCCTTTTCTGGCCCTGATTGTATCTGTTTGGGTATTCTCTCTTTTTTTCCTTGGCTCGTCTGCCTAGTGATTTACTGATTTTGTTTATCTTTTCATAAAATCAAATTTTCAGTTTGGTAGCCTTTGGTATTGAGTTTTTTCATTTCTATTTCATTTATTTCTGCTCCAAGCTTTTTTATTTTTCTTTTCTTTTACTCATTTTGAACATGGTTTGAACTTGCTTTTTTAGTTCCTGAGGGTGCATCAATAGGCTGTTTACTTGAAATGGGTCTCCTTTGATATAGGCATTTTGTGCAATCAACTTCCCTCCTAGCACTACTTTTGCTATATTCCATTGGTTTATCATGTTGTGTTACCATTTTTGATTGCTTTGATAAATAATGCTTTTTTATTGACACATCATTTAGAGGCATGTTGTTTAATTTCCCAGTGTTTTTACAGTTTACAAAGTTCCACTTGTTACTGATTTCTAGTTTTGTTTCATTGTGGTCTGATAAAATATATAAAATAATTTCAATTTTTTTTAAGTGGGAAAGCAAGATTTATTGAGAGCACAGAAAACCTCCCACAGCAGGAGAGGACCCAAAAGGGTTGCACCAATTTCAATTTTTTAACAATTTTTTGAGACTTGTTGCCTAACATATAATCTATCCTGGAGATTGTTCCAGGTGCTAATGAGAAAAATGTATATTCTGCAGTTGTTGGATGATGTTTGATAAATATGTATTAGGTTCATTTTGTCTGTAGTATAGGTTAAGGTTAGTGTTCCTTTTTTGATTTTCTGTTAAATGATCTGCCCAGTGCAGACCATTTAGTCCTCACTATTGTTGTATTGAGGTCTGTCTCTCTTCTTAGGTCTAATACATTTGCTTCATATATCTGGTGTTCTGGTGTTGATGCATACATCATTGCCGTATTCTTTTGTTAAATTGATACCATTGTTACTAAATAACTGCCTTGTCTCTTTTTACATTTTATTTTACTTAAAGTCTGTACCATGTATTTATTGTAAGTATACCAACTCCTGTCCGCATTGGGGTTTGTTTGTTTGTCTGTTTTTCCATGGAATATTTTTTGCTATTCCTTCACTTCCAACCTGTGAGTCTTTACAGGAAAAGTGAGTTTCTTGTAGGCAGCTTATAGTTACATCTTGTTTTTTGTTTTGTTTTGTTTTTTAAATTCATTCAGCCTGTCTATATCTTTTGACTGGGGAATTTAAACTGTATGCATGCAAGGCTGTAATGGAGAGGTGAGGATCTATTTCTGTCATTTTGCTGATTGTTTCCAGATGGTTTTATATCCTTAGTTTTTTCTTCCCCCTTTTACTGTTTACCTTTACAATTGGGTGGATTTTTGGAAGCGATAATTTTGGTCCCTTTTCTTTCACCTCTGTGTATCTGCTCTACAAGTAAGTTTTATGTTTTGTGTATTTTCACGATGTAAGATATTGTCCTCAGGCAGGTTGGTCCTCAGGTACTAAGGGTGACTGTGGGAGGGGTGAGCAGGCCAGTCCTTAGTCACCCGGGTCACCTGCTCAGGCAAAGGGACAGCGGCAGGCTGTGTGGGTTGTCTTCACACCCTTGAGCAGCATATGTGGTGCCAGTAGTGGCAGTAATGGTGGCGGCCCACCCTCGGGTCACTGGGTGCCATATGCAGGCACCTGAAGAGGAGACAGTGGGCTAGGCAGGACAGTACCCAGGCCCCAGATGACATACGCAGGCGGGTGATGGTGGCAGCAGGCTGGGCGGCTTGGACCTCAGGCTCCCAAAAGACACACACAGTCACTGGCGGCAGCAGGCAGAACAGGATGGCTTGCACAGGCACAGGTAAGCAGAACAGACTCATTCCCAGGCACCTGCAGAGTGATCCTGGGCATAGCAGTGGTGGGCAGGGCCAACCTGTCCTCAGACTTCTAGACGACATAGCAGTGGCAAGAGCTGGGGGAGTGGAATCTCAGACCCCCAGAGGACTCACTCAGGTGCACCTCAGCCCAGTGGTAGAGGGGCTGGGGTTGCTGTTGGTGGCAGGGGACTCCAGCAGTTGGCTTTTAGCAGTTGGCTGGAAAGCACATGCTTTCACTTTCTTTGTCCAGGGGACAGCCTCCCTAATGTGCTAAACTACCTGTGTCCCAAAATGTAGGCTACTTCCTAGGCTAAGGTGCTGAGTACCCAGCTGCACGTCTGGGTACAGCCAGTATCATGGCACTGCAGCCCTTTGAGTTGACCTGGAGGGGGCAGAAGGGCATCAGCTAGGCTCCAGGAATATGGAAATGCAGGGCTGTTTGGCCAAGGGATAGAATTTAGACTGGTGAGTGCTATACTCTCAATATGGTACCATGTCCTGGTTCTTGGGTCTAGGGTGGTGAGTAGGACCACTGTAAACTCCCTCTCTGAACAAGGCAGTTGTGAGGACTCTAGGTGGCTCCCTATACTAGGGCCAGAGACTCGAAGGACCAGCAGTCCTTCTGTGGCTTAAACTGCAGGTATCTGTGGAGGGAATGCGGACTGCCAGGGGTCTCACACTTACCTTTTCCCCAAATGGGGAGTCTCCCCATCTTGAAGCCAGTTCTATTCCTTGTTACTTCCCTGCTGAACTCCAGTGCTCTCTCTCAGGTGCTCTCTACAACGTGTAGCTATCTACTCATAGTTGTGCTTTTTTGTAAGGAGGTGGGTGATTGGCATGTCTAGTCAGCCATCTTCCACACTCAAGGTTTGTTTCCTCTTCCTTTTCCCTGTACTATTAAAAGGTTGCTTTTATCTCCCTGATTAGGTTTTACGAAGCTGCATGTGGCTAGAGCATATGAAGCAGAACAAACATTTATTTGAAAAATCTTTACATGTTACATTAACAATCTGCCAAATATAACTCCTTTTTTATTTTTGTCCAGGTGCCAGTAAAAAAGATGAAAATTATAACCTGCCTCGACTCTGCATTCGAAAGTTCTTTCCAAATAAGAAATGCTTTATCTTCTACCCGCTTACTGACTGGAAGAAGCTTGCCCGGCTTGAGACACTACACGATGATGAGCTGAACTCTGATTTTGCGAAACAAGTGAAAGAATTCTGTTCTCATATCTTCAGCCATTCTAAGATTAAAACTCTTCCAGGAGGCATCAGGGTCAATGGGCCTCGTGAGCCCTCTTCCACATCCTTCTACTCATCGTTAAGAAGACTAAGAGAGAATGGAGTAACATGCACTTAGTTTCGCTTTAAGACATGCAGGGTTTACTGTTAATACTGTTGCATTCTAGCCATTTGGACAAATATCTAATGCTTAACTTTAATCAAATCTTTGAATGGGAAAAATAGTGAAACCAAAGTAAGGAAGCTCTGTCCTTAATTTCGCCCTAGTAAGCTGGATTTACATTGTCAAATCCAGTTGTCAATATACACATGTGTGGCTGCTTAAATTTAAATACAAATGAACTAAAATTAAGAGAAAATAAAAATTCAGATTGCACAGCATTATTTCAAAAACTCAAGAGATACATATAACTAGTGGCTTCAGTAATGGACACCAACCACATAGAACATTTTATTTATTTCAGAAAGTGTCTTTTTGATAACATTGAGTTGTTATAAATAAACCAAATGAAGCACTCCTTCCATTAAAATAGCACTCTTTGTTCCACAAATATTGATGAAAGGCTAACCATGGGCATGATACAGAGGATAGAGGATACAGACATAAGTGAGAGAGGTATGACTTCTTTTCTTTTCTTTTTTTTTGGGGGGGGGGAGTTTGGTTTCTTCTCAAACAATGTTTGAGGCCCAAGTAGATACAAGCATTCAACAAACACAGGCTTCCTTTATATAGGACACCTATGGTGTGCATAAATATCACCTCAGTATATTGCCAAAGAAAAGGTTCTGTTTCAGTAGGTCTGAGGCAAGGCCTGACAATCTGCATTTGTGTCAGGCTTTCCAATGATGCTGATGATATTGATGAGGCAAAAAGATGATTATAGAGAATTATGCAGAATAGAGACTTTTCCTCTAACTACCACAAAGAACATACTTTGTTCTCTATGTGTAGGTCTACAGAACCTGGTGCTAACCTATGTCAATGCCATCAAAAGCGGAGATCTGCCCTGCTTGGAGAACGCAGTCCTGGCCTTGGCCCAGATAGAGAACTCGGCCGCAGTGCAAAAGGCCCTCACCCACTATGACCAGCAGATGGACCAGAAGCTACAGTTGCCTACGGAAACCCTCCAGGAGCTGCTAGACCTGCACATGGCCAGTGAGAGACAGGCCACTGAAGTCTTCATTGGGAGTTCTTTCAAAGACATAGGCCAAAAATTTCAAAGGGAATTAGCGGTAATTTTTCTCCCCTTCTTATAAGAATTAGTGTTGTGGAAAGCAAAGTAGTATGAGAAGATGAAACGAGTATTTATTTTCATAGAAGCAGTTCTTATTAGCTTCTAAAATGGTGATAACTACATATTTGTAATCATATTTTTTAAAGCAGGATTTATTGAGAGGACAGAAAAGCTCCCACAGTGGGAGGGAACTCGAAGGGGTTGTCCTTGTAATCATATTAATCTGAAGAACCAACTGTATTATTGCAGATTCCAAGTTTTGAAACATCTTCCATCATAAATAAATTGTTCTTTAATGCATTTTCCATTAATGCATACAACTGAACATCGGAGCTTCTAATCAAATTACATGCAGACTCTTATCAGACAGATTTGATATTCTTGCCAAAAGCAAGGAGAAATTTGGTCCTAGTTATCTTAAGCAGGCTTATGTTGAGCCACACTTATTCCATATGCAACCATTATTTCAACCTGAAAGTGCAAAGTATGCCTCTAAAAGTTGGCAGAAAGCTATCAATCTCTACTTTGAGCTCCATCTCTAAGGACAAAGCGACTTCTTAGAAATTTGGGGTCAAGAGAAAGAATATGATCCTTTTGAGGGGTCTGTCAGATTTTCTAGGGGTCATTGACTTTTTTGCTGGGAGGGGAAAATATTTCTAGGAATTCTGAGGTCAAGCTCACATTCTTGCCCTGTTGTTCTTTTCACTTTCTGTTTTTACATCAAAGGCCCAGCTCAAAAAAAGCGAGATGACTTTTGTAAACAGAATGAAAAAGCATCATCAGATCGTTGCTCAGCTTTACTTCAGGAAATTTTCAAGCCTCTAGAAGAAGAAGTGAAGGAGGGAATTTATTCTAAGCCAGGGGGCTATCAACTCTTTATTCAGAAAATAGAAGACCTGAAGAAAAAGTACAGTCAGGAACAGAGGAAGGGAATACAGGTAACCAACATATATCATTTGTAACATATATCATTTGGAATACAGGTAGCCAACATATATCATTATGGAAACTGCTGATGTGCCTCCTTGAAGCACCCATGTGACCAAGTGTAACTGCACACAGATGTGCATTAGTGTCTGCATAACATTCTTGCTTTCATTCAATAACAAGGACAGGAAGCCTGTTGTACCAGACATATTCTAGGTTCTCATCAAAGTGAGTGCAGGCAATTAACAACTGAGTTATGCATTGAATTATCAGACTGACCACAAAGTTGTTATTATCATTCCACAATTGCAGCTTGATATTTTGTTCTGCAAGAGACAGAAACCCAATGATGATTGCTTAAATGAAAGTGGTAATTCATCAGTTTAGGTTTAAAATTGGCTTGAAAGGACAGCTGGGTCTAAGATTTCAAATAATGTCCTGATCTCTCTCACTGTTCATTATTACCCACACAGTTCCCACCCTTCCCCTCTCTATCTCCATTCTTCTTATTTCCCTCCTCAATGATGGCTTATTATCTAGCAGACTCACTCCAAATGGGACCATGGCACTAACAGGTTTAAACTTAAAGCCTTCTATCTAAAATGAAAAGAGAATCTCTTTTTAGGCCAATACCTACATAACACTCCTAAAAGGACTATGCGAAGTGAGGTTCTCAGATTGGAAGCCTGAAACATGCACCTTGTTCCTGTGACAGAAACTCTTGACCACCAGGCATGCCAGCACCAAGAAGAGCAATTCCTAGAGGAAAAGATGGTGGACAGACAACAAGGAGCAAGTGTTTACAGCCATTTCCTACTGCTAACTCTGTATTCTCTGGGTCCTAAGGCTGAAGAGATTCTGCAGACATACTTGAAGTCCAAGGAGGCTGTGAGAGATGCGATTCTGCAGACAGACTTGAGTGTCTCAGAAAAAGAAAAGGAGATTGAAGGTAAGAAATGAGTCAAGAGATTAAACAGCTTAAAAGCCCTTAAAAGTTCAAGTCGCCTGACCAGGTAAACCTGCACCTTTAAACTAGAGCAAGAAGAGCAAAGATGCGCCTTACCTGCTGAAGTCATGTGTCAGCAGGGCATATGCCATCAGCAGCAACAATAACAGGTAAGTGTACAAGGAAGAATGAGGTGACAAGAACACCCCACACACATTTTTTTCTTCGTTTTCCTCCACAGCGGAACGTGTGAAAGCCGAAGCTGCAGAGGCTGCAGCCAAAATGGTGGAGGAAATGCAAAAGAAGAAAGAGCAGATGATGGAACAGAAGGAGAAGAGTTATCAGGAACATATAAAACAACTGACTGAGAAGATACAGATAGAGAGGCAGCAGTTATTGATGGAGCAAGAGTTGGTGCTGGCTCTTAAACTTCAGGTATTCAATTGCATCACCTGGAGCTTTTGGTTTTCCTGTTTTCTCTCCATCCTCCCTGATCACAAACTTAGTGTGTGGCAGGGCAAACACGAAGCCCAGAGGAAGGACGTGATTTGCTCACTTGTGCTTTTCAATCCCTGTCTGTCTGGCATGAACTGGGCACTGCCTATGTCTAGTCACTTAAAGTTTTTTTATTGGCAGTTGTGTCACATTCAGTCCTTTATCAGTATATTCTTCACTTAAAGGTAGCTATTATCTGCATCATAAAAATGTCTTATCTGCATCTCTTGCTTCATATCATGTGAAGCAAAAACTATATCCCTATTACTTAGAAGAAGCAGAGATTCAGAAAAGACTAAGTAAATTTTATAAGTTCACACAGCCAGTGAGATATTTGAGGTATCTTCATCACTTGGTATAATCCACCTCTTTTTTTTTTTCTGTTACACTTGGTTTGACTTTAGCACTAAGAGAACCTTTATGAGCGGAAGTACTTCATAATCCTTACTTCTGTGTGACAGCCAACCATTCCCGCCTGTTTTTCATGCCCCGCTCCCAGTTTGTGTTGAGTTGGGAGCTCTGTGCTGAAATCCAGTATGTTCAGTCTGGGACTCTGATTTACTAAACTATCTTCTGCTATTCCTGAAACCAAGTTGTGGTGAGTTAGATCAAATTTCCTGACTAGAATTCAGATGCCTTATCAGTTTTTGAGAATACTTTATTTCTGTATGCGTATATACATAGTAATATGTGTGTAGTTGGATGTATGAAAAAGTCTATAGTGAATTGATAAGATGTGAATTCAAATATTTGATTAAGATTGCCCAAGAACTGTGTACAATTTTTCTTAGAGTTGTGGGGTACAAGTGAGGCCCTATCACATAAGCAAGTTGCATACAGGTGTAGTTTGGGCTTCCAGCTGGCCCTCTCTCCACTGATAGTGAAGCTGGTACCCAGTGTGTTACCACATATCCCCTCTCCCCCTTCCCTCACTCCCTTCCCTGTCAGTGTCCAGCTTAACCTACCCTTGTGCTCATGTGACCATTGATCATGGCCCACTTAAGAATAAGAACATGCGGTATTCAGTTCTTTGTTTTTGTGACACTACACTTAGTATGATGGTCTCCAGCTTATCCATGGTGCTGCCAAGGCCATGATTTTGTTCTTCTGTAAAGTGCATGATATTCCATCATGTATATGTACCACATTTTCTCTATCCAGTCTGCTTTCAATGAATCTGGGTTGGTTCCATGTTTTTGCTATTGTGAATAGAGCCACAATGAACATACGTGTGTGGGTGTCCTTTGGGTAAAGTAATGTATGTCCTTCTGGCTGTATTCCCAGGAGATAAATTGCTGGATCATACACAAGTTCAATTCTTTGAGAAGTCACCACACTACCTTCCATAAAGGTTGAACCAGCCTACATTCCCACAAGCAGTGTAGAAGCATTCCCTTTTTTCCACAGCCATCCCAGCACCTGTTGTTTATGACCTCCCCCCGCTTTATTTTATTTTTAAAATGTGGGGTATTAGCTGGGCTCAGTGGCTCAGCCTGTAATCCCGCGCCTTTGGGAGGCTGAGGTGAGTGGATTGCCTGAGCTCGCGGGTTCAAGACCCGCCTGGGCAGCAAGACCTCATCTCTACAATAAATCAAAAACTCAGCCGGGCGGGGTAGCACATGCCTGTAGTTCCAGCTACTCAGAAGGCTGAGGCGGAAGGATCGCCGGAGGTCAGTAGGTCGAGGCTGTGGTGGCCGGGAGCGGCCACTGCACTCCAGTCTAGGTGACAGGGTGAGACACCAACTCAAAAATAAAAAATAAAATGTGGGGTACAAGTCAGGATTAGGTATAAAGGTGGTCCACACACAGGTAAAGTTTGGGCCTCCCACTGGTTCTCACTTCCCCTGGTTTAGGATCAGGTACACTTAGTGATGTTGTGTGCCCCATTCCAACCCCGGCAGTGTCCCACCACTGCCAATCCCTCTTCTGTAGTATTGTGATTGATGTTCAGGACCCACTTATAAGCAAGAACATGTAGTATTCAGTTCTTTGTTTCTGTGATAGACCACTGAGTATGATGGACACTAAGTCCATCCAAGTGACTGTGAAGTCCATAGTTTTGTCCTTGTAATGGCTGCGTAACATTCCATTGTGCATGTGTACCACTTTCGATGGTCAGCATGGTTGGTTCCATGTTTTTGCTATTGTGGGTTTTTTGACTTTTTAATGATAGCCATCCTTACCAGGATTAGTTGGTATCCCATAGTAGTTTTGATTTGCATTTATCTGATGATTAGTGAAGCTGAGCATTTTTTCATGTTTGTTGACTGTTTGATGATTAGTGAAGCTGAGCATTTTTTCTTGTTTGTTGACTGTTCATGTCCTTTGCCCAATTTTTAATGGAGTTGTTTAGTTTTTTTCCTGTCATTTGTTTGAGTTCCTTGTAGATCCTGGATATAATGCCTTTGTTGGACGCATAGCTTGCAAATTTATTTTCATTCCATGAATTTTTTTTACTCTCTTGAGGGTTTCTTTTCCTGCAGCAAAATCATTTCAGCAAAATCGTTTCAGTTTGGTAAGATCCCACCAATCAATCTTCACTTTTGCTGCAGTTGCCTTTGAGAACTTGGCCATGAATTCATTGCCTACTTCGATGTCCAGGGGGGTGTTCCTTAAGTTTTCTTCCAAGATTCTTGTAGTTTGAGGTTTTACATTTAATCCTTGATCCAACTGAGTTAATTTTTGTATATGGTGATAGGAAAGGGTCAAGTTTCATTCTTCTGCATGTGGCTAGCCAGTTTTTCCAGCACCGTTTGCTAAATATGGTTTTCTTCCACAGTGTCTGTTTTCATCAGCTTTGTCGAAGATGAGTTGATTGATGGGTCTTGGTTTTATTCACAGATTTCCTGTCCTATTCCATTGGTCTCTGTATCTATTACTGTACCAATACCATACTATCTTGGTTACTGTAGCCTTGTAATAAAGTTTAAAGTCTGGAAGTATGATGTTCCTTTTGCTGAGGATAACTTTAGCTATTTGGGCTCTTTTTTGTTTCAGTATGAATTTCTGTATTGTCTTTTCTAGATCTGTGAAATATGATGCTGGCAGTTGTGATGGGTATTGCGTTGAATCTGTAGATTGCCTTGGGTAGGATGGATATCTTGATGATATTGATTTGTCCAATATATGAACATGGGATGTTTTTTCCATTTGTTTATGTCATCCTTGATTTCTTTGAGCAGTGTTTCATAGTTCTCATTGTAAAGGTCTTTCACTTCTTTGGCTAAATGCATGCCAGGGAATTTTAGTTTTTGTGGCTATTGTACATGGAATTGTGCTTTTAAATTTGGTTCTCAGCCTTCTTGTCGTTGGTGCATAGAAATGCAACTGCCTTTTGTGCACAAATTTTTTTACCATGAAACTTTGCTGATTTATCAGTGTGAGAAGGTTTTTGATAGACTTTCTAGGGTTTTCAAGGTATAGAATCATATTATCAGCAAAGGGGGATAACTTAACTTCCTCTTTTCCTATTTGGATACCCCTGATTTCTTTCTTCTACCTGATTGCTCTGGCTAGGACTTCCAGTACTACGTTGAAAAAGAAGGGTGAGATGTTGGCTGCACATTTATGATAGATGGCTCTTACTGTTTTGAAAAATGTCCCTTTCATGCATGTTCAAGCGTTTTTAACCAAGGCAGGATACTGGGTTTTATTGAATGTTTTTTCTATGTCTAACGAGATAATCATGTGGTTCTTAGTTGTATACCTGTTTATGTGATGAATTATGTTTACAGACTTAACCTATGTAGAACCAGCCCTGCATCCTGAGAATGAAGCCAATCTGGTCATGATGAATGATCCTGGAATGTGTTGCTGGATATGATTTGTTAGAATCTTACTGAGAATTTTTGCATCTAGATTTATCAGGAAAAATGACCTGTAGTTCTTTCCTTATTGGATCTTTGCCAATTTTGGGTATCAGGATGATATTAGCTTCACAGAATGAGCTAAGAATTCCTTCCCTCTTGATTGCCTGGAATACTTTGATTAGATTGGTATCCGTTTTTCCTTGTGTGTCTTGTAGAATTCAGCTGAAACTATCTAGCCCGGTGCTTTTTTGGGAAGGAGGTCTCTTATAACTTCATCAGTTTCTTGGATTGCTATTGGTCTGTTAGAGTTTCAATTTCTTCCTGTTTCAACCTTGGGAGATTATGTGATGCCAAGAATTCCCCATTTCCTCTAGATTTTGTAACTGATTTGCATACAAATGTTTACAGTAATCTTTGGTAATCTTTTTAATTTCTTCAGGGTCAGTTGTGACATCACCTTTTTTTTTTGTCATTCTGGCCAGGGATCTGTCAATCTTATTTACCCTTTCAAAGAAACAGCCTTTTGTCTTATTGAGCCTATAATTTTTTAAAAGCTATTTCATGCAATTGTGACTTTATTTTTGTAATTTGAATTTTTTCTACTAAATTTAGGATTTGTTGTTGCCTTTCCACATCCCCTAGATGTGAGATTAGCCTGTTTACTTGCAATCCCTCTATTTTCTTGATATACGCATGTAATGTTATAAACTTCCTTCTCAACCAATTTCATGGTATCCTAGAGAATTTTATATGTTGTGTTTTTGTTTTCATTTATTTACAGGGATGTTTTTATTTCTTTCTTAATTTCTGTGTTACCCCAAAGTCATTCAGAAGTATGTTGTTTAATTTTCATATATTTATGTCTTGGGGAAGTTCTTGTTGGTGATGATATTTATTTTATTCCACTGTGGTCTAAAATGACACTTGATACTATTTCAACCTTTTGAAATTTGTTCATGTTTGATTATGTAAAAGAATGTGATCAGTCTTGGAGATGTTCCATGTGCTGATGTGTAAAATGCGTACTCTGTGTTTGTTGGGTAGAGTGCTCTACAGATGCCTTTTGGGTCCAATTTGTCCAGTGTTGACTTAAGGTTCCCAATCTTCTAGTAAGTTTTATGCCTCAATGATCTGTCTAGGTCTGTTAGAATATAAAAGTCTCTTACTATACTTGTATGGGTGTCTATGTCCTCTCTTAGATTAAGTAGCAATTGTTTTATAACTCTGGGTGCTCCTGTGTTGGATGCCTATATATTGACAATGGATATGTCTTGCTCGTGGATTGAGCCTTTTATTATTATGTAGTGTCCTTCAGTGTCTTTGCTAACTTTTATTGTTTTGAAATCTGTTTTATCTGATATAAGAATTGCTATGCCTGTTCTTTCTTGTCTTCCATTTACCTAGGTGATCTTTCTCTAGCCCCTTAATTTGAGTCCATGAGTGCTCTTTGCAGTGAGATGGGTTTTCTGGAGGCAGCAGAATGTTTGACCATGTTTCTTTATCTAGTTTGCTACTCTATGCCTTTTGAGGGACACGTTCATCCATTCACTATCAAGTTAACTATTGATACATGAGGATATATCCCTATCATAGTACTCTAAAGAGATTGCTTTGTTTTTTCTTTTTTCTTTTTTTTTTTAAGACTTTGTGGTTTTGATTAACTGTTAACTCTGTGCTAGCCTGTGCTTTTGCAATGGATGAAACTGTTCTATCATTTCTGTGCTTAGAACTTTCTTAAGCATCTCCTGAAGGGCTGGTTTAAAGGTAGCATATTCTCTTAGGGATTGGATGTCTGGGAAAGATTTTAATTAACTCTCATTGGTAAAGCTTAGCTTAGTGGGATAGGAAATTATTGGCTGAAATTGCTTTTCTTTAAGAATGTTAAAGATGGGCCAGACTTGGTGGCTCAGCCTGTAATCCCAGCACTTTGAGAGGCTGAGGCAAGTGAATTGCCTGAGCCCACGGATTTGAGACCAGTCCAGGCAACTTGGCAAGACCTTGTCTCTATAAATCAAAAATAAGCCATGTGTGGTAGCATGCACCTGTAGTTCTGGCCACTTGGAAGGCGAGGAAGAAGGATCATCAGAGCCCAGCAGGTCGAGGCTAGGGTGGTCATAAGCATGCCACTGCACTCCAGTCTGGGAAATGGAGTAAGACTCCAACTCAAAAAAAAAAAGAATATTAAAGATGGAGCCCCAGTCCCTTCCAGCTTTCAGGGTCTCTGCTGAAATATCTTCTGCAGTTCTGATGGGTCTTCCCCAATAGGTGGTCCATCCCTTCTCTCTAGTTGCCTTTAAGATTTTTTTTCATTCATGTTTGCCTTGAGGAGACAGATTAATATTTGTCTTGGGGATGGTCTTTTCGTGTAAGGGGTTCACTGGATCTCTTATGTTTGGATGGTCACCTCTCTAGTGAGATAGGGGAAATTTTCTTGGATGACCACTTGGAAGGCTTGTTCCAGAGTATTCTCAGTGTCCCCTTCTGTCTCAAGGATGCCAAACAGCCATAGACTTGGTCTCTTTACATAAACCCAAACCTCTCATGGGGTTTGCTCATTCTTCTTGAGCCTTTTATCTTTCTTTTTGTTAGACTTGGATATTTCGATATTTTGATCCTCGAGCTCTAAGATTGTTTCCTCTGCCTGGTCAATTCTGTTGCCTAGGCCTGCCATTGTGCTTTGAAATTTCCAGGAAGGAATTCTTCATTTCTGGGATTTAAGATTGGATCTATCATATATTGGTCAGTTCTACTCTTATTTCCTATATTGCCTTTGTTGTCTGGGCAATCTGTTCTTTCAACTTCTCTTGATTTTCCATAACTGCTTTTGCTATCCACAGTCTGAACTCTATGCCAGCATGGACAGGTTATTCTGGATGGATTCCATTGCTTGGTCTTTGGGAGGATCTTTTGTAGGTAGTGCCTCATTAAGGCCTTGGAGATTTCCTTTTTTTTTCTTTTTCTTTTCATCTGTGAGGACCAAATCTTCCCTTTTTATTATTATTTTTTGGTTTTGCTTTTAGTTAGATATGCGGTTGCTACTATTAGAGTGACCTTTTATGGGATTTATATATATTTTTATTCCATAGGGTGTGCTCCTGTTTTGTTGAACTCCCTATTCCCCTAGGGGTGGTCTGCCTCCTGCATAGGACTAGAGTCCATGGGGTTTGGGGGAGGAGAACCATCAGAGACTCTGTCAGCAGCATTCACCTTCTCTCACAATTAAAGCAGGACTGCAGTTCCAATACAAGCCTGGCGTCTGGTGTGAATGTTGACCCCTGGCTCCAAAGCCAGACACTCACTTGCTCTCTCTTTCTCACTCCCTGTCTGTCCCAAGAGACCCTAGTGGAATGTGGGGCACATCCTCCATCTCAGCCTGCTCAAGATGCTGAGGGTCATTGGCTGCTGGGGCTCTCTCCTTGGTCTGCTCCAAGAGTTAGTTGAGTGAATGGGCTGGGATCTGTGGTTAGGAGCAGTTAGAATCCGGATCTGGGCACCACTGGTGTTCATTATAAGACACCACTCAGCAAGACAATTGGGTGAGAGGGGAAGTAGGAGTAAGGGGCCTGATGGGAGGTGGGTGTGAAGAGCAGTGGGAGGAGAAGTGAGCAGGGCCTCTTATGTAAAGTTAACGGGGAGGAAATCAAGACCAGACATTTAGGTTAATAAGTAGAGTAGGAACCATAAGCTGAAACTCCTTCTTAGCTAAGAGAGACTCAGGGGAAGTTATCTCAGAGCTCACCTACCCAAGAAAAAATATAATGAACATTAAGGGGACTGGGTACGGTGGCTCACACCTATAATCCCAGCACTTTGGGAGGCCAAGATGAGACAATTGCCTGAGCTCAAGCGTTCGAGACCAGCCCTGGCAACTTGGTGAGACCTCATCTCTACAATAAATCAAAAAAAAATTAGCCAGGCATGGTAGCACATGCCTGTAGTTCCGGCTACTTGGAAGGCTGAGGCAGAAGGATCGCCAAAGCCCAGTAAGTTGACACTGGGGTGGCCGTGAGTGTGCCACTGCACTCTAGTCTGGGCAACATAGTGAGACTCCAACTCAAAAAAAAAAAAAAAAATTAAGGTTAGAGAAAATTTCAAAAAGGAAGTAAGTAATATATCAATAGGTGTGGAAATGAGATAGAATATAGAGATTTGCTTAATAGCACACTTTTTTCAGTTTCGTTTGTTTCTTTTTAGAAACAAGCCCTACAAATAAAGCAGGGATACCAAACTGAAAACGCTCGAATTCGTGATGAAATACAGAATCTAAATAAGAAGATAGGTGAATCAAGAGGGGGATGTAACATAATCTAAATACCAAAGAACAGAGCTTTCCTGACACCATTACCCAACGCATAACTGGAAAAATTTTAGAATTTGGAACAAGTGTCATTACACTTGATAATAATTAGATTGTCTACTATAACAACAAATGTTTACCAAGACATGCAGTACTGTGATTGAAATCATGTCCACAATTCCTAAAAAGACTGTAAATTGTATAGCAAGGATACATCTTCCTCTGTGCTAGCAGAGGGGTTATGAATTGGTGCCACTCAGGAAAGTTTATTCTTCCAGGTGATGAGCAGTAGACAAATGGATACTGAGCAAAGTCTTAGCAATAAGTCTTGGGAACTAGATGGTCACTGGTTTGGCCAAATGTACAATGAACCCCAAGGTTGGGACAACCATCCTAGCTTCTTAGTGAAAAAGAGGTACAGTCCTCCATTATATCGAAGTTACACAGTCTATGAGCAATCATGTGATTTCTGGACACTGGCAATAGAGAATCCTTACTGATGGATTTCAAGCTAAAGAAAATCAGTCTATACAGAAATCCAGAATTGTTGCATACTCTCCATGGGAAGATGGAAGAAACTATTAGCATGAGTGGGAACTGGGACATAAATAAATGGGCTAGCAAAGAAAATTTTTCCTCTTTTTTCAATTCATCCAGATTATAACTTTAATGGGACATTAAACACTGGAATAAGCATAGTCGTGTGATAATAACATGCATTGTATATTTTTATAAGGTAAAAGTTGCAAAGTTGAATTTAAATGATGATGAATAATATGTTAGAAAACTGAATTAATGTAACCATGTGATTGTTGATAATCCTAAAGCTTAATCAAGTCCTTTCCTAATTTTTAACAGTCTATTTGAAATCCTGTTGATTCTTCCCAAAAAGAATATAAAATGTTTTTGATATTTTTTTCATCAATAAAGTTCTTTTTATTACTTAGAATGTGTAAATTTTAATCTCAATTGTCAGAAGGCCTAGGTAAGTGGTTGACGGTTCTTACAGCAATTAAGGATTATTTGGGGCTGGAAAAAAACTACTTCACTAGGCTTTTTATTTCTGCTTGAATTTTCTTTTTCAGATTTTTGCTTAAAAAAATAAAGTTTTAGTCTTTATAGCAATGATTGGTTAACTTTCCTGTAGGATAACAGATAGCAACTCTTCACAGCTTTGCAGGTTCATACTGTTCCTGTCTCAACTACTCACCTCTGGCTGCAAATGTAGCCATAGATAATACATAAACAGATGGGTGTGGCTATGTTCCAATAAAATTTTATTTTAAAAAAAAAAAAAAGGTGGCATCCACCACTAGCCATAGTTTGCAAACCTCTGCTTTGTGGAGACATTGGTCCAAGTTCTATATACCTGATCATGTAGATTAGATTGTATATCTTAGAATCTTCAAATAATAATTATGTGGTGTTTCAAAATATTACATGCTGGCTGGGCACAGTGGCTCATGCCTGTAATCCCAGCACTTTGAGAGGCCAAGGTGAGAGGATTGCCTGAGTCCAGGGGTCCAAGGCCAGCCTGGGCAACTGGCAAGACCTCGTCTCTACATCAAATCAAAAAAAAAAAAATTAGCGAGGCATGGTAGAACACTCCTGTAGTTCCAGCTACTTGGAAGGCTGAGATGCAAGGATTGCCTAAGCTCAACCGGTCGAGGCTGCAGTGGCCGTAAGCGTGACACTGCACTCCAGCCTGGGCGACAGAGTGAAACTCCGATTCCAAAAAAAAAAAATTACATGATGAGGAAAAAGCAAGGACACAACTAATGCCATTCAATCCACATTAATAATCCAACCTTTTCTATTGTTTTGAAAACTTTTATTACCTTGAACTTCCTTGTCTCCCATCACATGGCCAATGCTTCCTTTCATAGTCGACCATGGTGCTACCCAGCAGTGTTTCTTCACTTGGAATCAAATCTAACGGGGGACCACGGAGGACTGCAGCATATAGATGGAATGTTTTTGCAGATATACTTTATATTTTTTCCACTGCTCTACTAGAAAGGATTAAATAAAATACATTATTATTGTTGAAGAAACTTTATGATAGAAAATAATAACTCTGCCTTCAAAAGTAAATAATAGTTTCTTTACTACCCACTTAAAAATAAGGAAACAAACTCAGCAAAATTAACTTTTTTGCTCCCAGGCTTGGGAGCATCAATGTCCAGAACACATTCCTCATCCTCTGACTTCTGGTTTAGTGCTTGTCTCCAATATCTCCAGGAATAAAATAAAGCTCTCTCCCCAGGGAAGCATGTTTCTTTCACCAGTAGTCCTCAATTCTGCTGTACATTAATATCAACTTATTAAATATAAACATCCTCTGGCTCCTACCCTTCCTCTGACTTTCTGACATAGTGGTCTGAAATTGTCATTTGGTAGAACAATGAGAAAATAGCAAGCAAAGCTAGACACTTTCAGTCTGCTGAAGCTACCACAGCTTAAAACCTACATTTGCTGGCCCTTACGGGGTTCCTGTGTCAAAATCTTTTCAGTTTAGAGAAGTACATGTTCTCTTGTTTAAATGATAAGTTGCTACTTTTCCTTCTCTGAGTTTAGTGAAAGGAAATATAAGCTCCCCTGATCTAGAGGGAGGGAGTACATCAAACTCTGAAATCCTGACAAAAGAACAGAAATCCCTCAGAGAAACCTGTTGTATGTATTATAAATGTCCAGGCTAAAGAATCAACTAAGCCAAAGAAAGTGCATCTCCCAAAATATAAAAACACATATAATAAATTATGAAATCCTTTTCATCTCTGATGCATCAAATAGGCAAACTAATAATAAACATTCTGACAAATCTATTTGCATACTTTCAACAAACTATCCAATTTCTCAAAAAGCACAAATTACTAAAAATTGCCCAAGATAAATAGATAAGCTTAATTGTCATGTAACTTCAAAAGATATTGAATTTGTAGTTTAAAAAAATCAGAAAAGAGTTCCTCAGACCTAGATGGTTTCTTCTGACTGACAAATTTTACTAAAGACTTTAAAAAGAAACAATGCCAATTTTACACAGATTATTTCAGAAAACACAAGATGAGGAAACACCTCTCAATTCTTTCTACATGCACAGCATTATTCTGATGCCAAAATCAGACAAACACAAGTAGAAAAACAGAAAACTATAATCATTATCCCTCCTGATCACGGATGCAAAAATCCCCAACAAAATATTAGCAAATCTAATCCAACAACATACAAAAATAATGCTCCTCAAACAAGTGGGATGTATCCTGCATATTCAAGGTAGTTCAAAAACCAGTTGATGAAATTCATCACATTAAAAGTTTAAGAAAGAAAAAATACAAGATTATATAAATAGGAAAAGGTTGATAAAATATGACACTCATTCAAAAGAAAATTCAGCAAACTAGGAGTAGAAATTATCTTCTTCGAACTGATAAAGGGTATCTACAAAAAAAACCATGCAGCTAAAATTATACTTGTTGAAAGGCTGAATCCTTTCCCCTTCAGAGCCAGGAACAATTAAAGAATGTCCACTATCATCACTCTATTTGACATTGCACTAGAAGTCTTAGTACGATTGGGGGAAGAAAAAAAAAAGGCTATAAAAGGCATAAAGTTCAGAAAGAATAAAATAAAACCGTCCTTATGTGCAAACAACATGATTGTCTATGTAGAAAAACCCAGGGAATCTACAATAAAACTCTTAGAGATAATAAATGGATTCAATAAGGTAAAAAGAAAAAAATCAACACACAAAAATCAATTTTCAACTGTTTACATATATAAACAATAAAAAACTAGAAACAAACATTTAAAAGACAATACCAAAAAAAAAAAAAAAAAGATGAAATGGGTAACAATCTAACAAAGCAGGCACAAGATCTCTGTGCTAAAATCCATTCTATGATCAAGAGACTGTTAGGATACATCACAATCTATGAATCTTAGATTCCATCATACTAATAGCTCACACAATGTTGCTTCCACTCACAGTACAAAACAAGGCTCAAGACCCTCTAGAGTTAGCCCTGAAAAAGGCAAACGTTAACATTCCCCCACTTTTTATTATAAAAATTATTTTCCTAACCTAAATCTAAAAGAGTCTGCTTGGGAAGTTAGGGGACACTACATACAAAACAGCAATTACATAAATGAGAGGAATGTATCCAATTCAAGATATTTGTTATCTACAAGGTCCTCAACTGAGAATTAAGAAAAATGGTTGTAGTTTCTCTAGTCAATAGCTAAAAGTCAGCTCAGCACAGTGGCTCACACCTGTAATCCCAGCACTCTGAGAGGCCAAGGCGGGAGAATTGCTTGAGCCCAGGAGTTTGAAGCAACATAGCGAGACCTCTCCTCTACAAAAAAAAAAAAAAAGATCAAAAAAATTAGCTAGGCATGGTCATACACATCTGTAGTCCCAGCTATTTGGGAGGCTGAGGCAGAAAAACTGCCTGAGTTCAAGAGGTGGAGGCAGCAGTGAGTCATAATGGTGCCACTGTATTCCAGTCTGTATTACACAGTGAGACCCTGGCTCCAAAAAAAAAGTTAGTAGTTAAAAGTTTATGTTGAGTACAGATGTTAAACAAATGATTACAGAAAATAAATACCCAGGAAATTGAGGGAAGAGCATACCTGTGGTTTAAGAAGGAGTTGGTCTAATCCCCCTACACCAGGTTAGTTCATACAGAGACTCAGTATGTCTTAACCTTACTTCCCCTTGTAAGTCAATTAGCTGGGAAAAAGAAATCTGAATCTGGAGGAGAGAGATAAGAAGAGAGAGAACCTATCACCTTGACCCAAACAGAATTTTAATAGTGAATCACGCATTCAGCATCCCTACACAGTTGAGTGAACTGGGATAGGGAAAGAAATTAAGAAAGCTATTAGCTCCAACTAGTCATCAGGATTTCTATTTTTCTTCACAATACTTTATCTTTTATTACCTATGAGTTTGTTCATATTTATTTCCTGTCTCTCCCACTAGAACATAAGTTCCAGTAAGCAGGTATTTGTAAAT